GCTGTTTCATAACATAGCAATGTGCAGCCCCTGAAAGGTTTTGGTAGAAAATATCATGTCACATATATATTTACTTTCTTAATGTTGCTGTAATGAAGCTTTCCATCCCTTCTGAGCTAAGGGCAAGTGTTCAGTATATTCCACCGTTCCTTTAGCCAGCATTTTCTTAGACCTAGCACACATGCAGGGAATTGAAAGGCATCTGAGTATTCAAAAATCTGTCTTTCATCATCAATGTTATGATGTTATCCAATGTTATCCTTTCATCACCAACTTGAAACCACTGGTCTTTGTGAATATCTCTGATCAGTCTTACAGGCCTGATCCAGGATACAGGAGCTCTACAGAGATCAGAGGCTGAAGTGCTGTGATGAAATTTGTGTTTACAGTTATCTGTGGGGGAAAGAAAGCAAATAGGGAAAGGAGAGGAAGAAAATGAAGCTTCACATATCAGAAGCCATGCACTTTAAAAAATCCCTTTCCTCTCCCCTCCTCTTCCCCTCACCCCATGCAAGGTAGCCATGTGTTTGCTTACAAAAGCAAATAAACAAAAACCTACATTATTTTTAGCTATTTAAAGATGTTTAATCTGTTGACAAGAACAAGATCCTGGGGAAAGTCATCCTTCTTTTGACTCCAAAACAGAGTCCATTTTGGTCTAGTGGCAGGAAATGTTAACAAGCAAAGATACACAGAAAGCTGATCAATTTGGAACTGGCAGGGAAAAAGGCAACAATTTGCCCAGCTGCTTGCAGAAGTTAGTTTATTTATTTGTTTATTTATTTGTATTCATTTCGTGTTCTCCAGTGCTGGCTCCCAGAGAAGCAGGATCCCGGGCCCTGCTGCTAGCCCCGACCACTGCCACGCTGAGCCCAAGTGTTGACACCCAAGTGCCAGCCTCTGCACATTTTTCTTTGTAAGGCAGGCGTAGGCTGTGTTACTGAGGAGTGAAGTCCTCAGAGGCAGTTTGGCTGTCAGGCGGCATTAGGCAGAAATTGTGTAACACACTTTCTTTCTGCTTTTAGCCTCCCACATACATTTAACAACCACCATGATTTTTAGTATGACTAAAGTTAATTGCTATGGTACAGTTTTGGTTTGGGGAGGGGGCGACATTTCTGTGTTGTGCTACAAGCTGGGGTGGCAGCAGCAGCAGTACTCCTGTTCCTGGTACTCTTGCTGTTTTAAAAATGCATCTTTCCCTGGATCGTAACATAAATTATCGCACAGTCTGCAGTGGTACTGGTTCTCAGCACAGCTGAATTACTTAGATCACCAAACCCTCAAATGTCAAAGTTTTGCACAGGCACGTTTAACTTTGTAATTAGATAAGCCTGAAGAAGCCTGGTATTATTTCAAATAATTTTGAATACTGTAATTAGTATGATTGTCTCCATCTCATTGATTCAGTAGGCTGGTAACCCTGCTGCTTAAGTACACATTAATTTTTTACTCACCTATTTAATAGTTGTTAGGTTTTCCTTGGTTCCTTATCTTTATAGTTGTATTCTACTGATCCAAACTAGTTCAGTAATACTCAATTCTTCACATAAATGTCTTGATCAAAGTGAATTCATGCCAGGTTGGACAGGGCCTTAAGCAACCTGGTCTAGTGGAAGGTGTCCCTGCCTATCGCAGGGGGTTGTAGCTAGATATTTTAAGGTCCTTTCCAACTCAAACCATTCTATGAATCACATGCTTTGCATTGCTCATCTTGTTTGTTTGTTTTGTTTTGTTGTTTGTTTGGGATTTTTGTTTGGTTTTAGGGATTTTTTTTTTTTTTTTTTAAGAAAAGTTGTCACTGCTTTTTGGATGAGAAGTTCCAATTAGTTACACAATGATAGAGAAGCCTGTCAGCCAGATGCACTGCTCTGGCAGTTTCCAGCTGCTCTTGTAAGCTTCTTGATTTGCCTCCTCCTTTCACCTGCAGCTGCCAGATCTCACACCATACTGGCCACTGGAGTAAGCCCCACATTTAGTTGGACTGGCCTTCCCATGAGTGCCCAGGAAGCTGACGGCACATATCCTGTGGCTGGCTATGTACTAGCCAGGAGAGAATAGAGTAACATTCAAGGATAGTAGAGCTGGCAGCAGATATTTATTTCACAGCAGCCTGCTTTTATGTGGGCTGTTTTGAAATGAGTGCTGAATTCTGATGTCACAGTGGAAATAGTGAACAATAGTCAGGTTAAAGCAACATAATGCATAGCAGAAATAACAGATTATTCACAGAATTGGTGTGAGGAAGTTCCTTTGAACTTTTAACACTACCCCAGCTGTTCTTGCCCTCTGGGAATGTTGTTTCAACATCTGAGGTTATATGACTTATTTGTAAACAAATGGAAGGGGAAAAAAATACACTATTTTCCTTTCTTAATTGTGTGATTCTATTAGCCTGTCCTTTGCAGTGCATTTACACTAGCCTTTAGCTGTTATGTGGAATTAGAGAGTAGATGATGGAGGTATCTCAGCCAGAGAATATATTCTGTTGCTCCACCCGCCAGGAGGTAGACATGTCAAAAAGCCATCAAGCGCTTCTTGCACACAGATGTCAACAGTGTAGCTGAGACTACAGGAAACAGCTGTTTGATCAAAGGTAGGTAGGTATGGTATGTCATAAAAGCGAGCGATACTTAACTTGTGGGTCTCATAGACTTCTCATCAGTCTTTCACAATGCATCTGCTCTGAGTTCTCATGATTCCAGACGTATTCATGACAAGTTGCATCAGTATTCATCCTGCAGTTGTACTGCCCATGCAGTCTAAAATTCCTCAGGAGTAGAAAAGAGGGAGTTTTTTGATGCAGCACCTTAGCCTAAGAACATGAAATAGCATAATGGGCATCTTATACATAGGTGTGCTTTTTTGTTGTTGTGTTTTGGGAGCTTTTTTTTCTCTGTGATAGGCATGCCTGCTTCTTGTTTTTTATTTTCTAAGGGTTTTTTCTGAATTGCTTATGGGAGAACAGTGGAGGTTTCCTCAGTAGGGTGCAACCTACAGTCAAACACCATTTGTCTTCGCTGATTTCTGTGATTTTGGCAGAATGTACCGGTGTTCCCCATTCATCACACCTTTCTTTGGAACACTCATCCTCTAAGGCAGTGGTTCAGTGAAGGAAGAGAAGAAAGATCAGGATATACAGAGACATGTCTCTCTGGGAAGGGTGGAAAGTGCAGGAAGGAATCCACTTACTTGTGAGCTGGGACTAAGGAAAAGTTTGGGTAAATCTTACTCTGCCCTGCACAGGGAAAGCAGGGGTACTGATCCAGAAAAGTCACAAGGAGACAAAGGCATTGAGGAAATTTCAGTCTGGTTTCCATTCTTCTGCCATGCAGGAGACGAGTATGCTGGCCTTCAGCTCTCTCAAGATTTTAAGCAAGTACAGAAGTGTCTTTATTAACTCAAAGTTACCAGCATGTCATAGCCCCAAGTGCTCTGGTGACTTAATAGAATTGTGACTTTCCCACTAATAGCTGTGGAGGAAACATACTATACTCCAGCCATAATACTGGCTCTGGGACTGCTGCCACTACTGTTTGTTTTCGTATAGTCTTGCTTTTTATAGAATGAGAATGTACCTGCTGCCTCTCAACATATGTTTATAAATGCCTTAATGCCATAGCTGCTGCTCACTGCAGGTTCATGTCTGAACTCTTCACCACTGAAGTCCCAGGGAGTTGCAGTTTCTCATCATTCACTCTCCAGATTAGTTTGAAGCATGCCACTTAGTTATACTGTAAAGCTGCAATTAGGACTAAGAAGAGACCTGTGTGTGGTTTATGTGAAAAGCATGTTAGAGGCTTACAGTAAAGAGGGAAATAGAGGAAGAAGAGGGTGTTATATCAGCTCACCTTGAAAATCTCATAGTGGACTTAAAAGGAAATTCCAATGCCAGAGTCTAACTCTCCATTGTAAACTTGCAGGCTGAGGAAGTAGTAATTTTTGGTTAGACCAGGTTAATGAGGAAAACAAAAACTGTATATGAAGGAAATTCTGATTACAGTAGTTAATAAATTGTGAATGTAAACTCAAACCTGCAGCTAGCATTTTCCCTCTGATGAAAGCTCAGCAAGATGTTCTTCTGCCTCTCTTTTTCTCTCCTTTATCCCTGTACCAGACGTGGGTATTTGAGAGGCATTTTCCAAAGACCTATCTTATGCTAAGGCCCTGCTGAGCAATGCCTCCATCTGAGCTGATACAGAAATAAACGTGTGTACGTGCTTTTCTTCCACAAGGAAGGGTAAACCACCCACAACTCCACACTTCTGTTCTGAGAAGTGCTTTAAATTCCTAGGACAAACACCATTTCCAACCTGCAGTGACCCGGAGAGGGGCGCTGGGTGAATGAATTCCTCTTCCCATGGCTGCCATGAGGTGTTTTGCTGGTAGTCCCTAGCTATGTGGGGTGTCCTCCCCTCCTTTTTTTGCTTTAACCTTTCTCTCATTTTACCGACATATCCCCAGATGGAAAATCATGGGGAAGGGGGGGTGGAGGTATGTTTACACCACTTCACGCTTTCTGAACTCAGGCCAAATACCGCACCGCATGGTGCTCTCTGCTGCACCCTGGCACGTCTGGCTGTGCCACAAGGCTTCCCTGGCACTGGGGTTTTATTTTGCCTCCTTAACTTCACTCCGCGCCACGCTGGCCGGCTCTGTTAACCTTTAAGCGTCTGAGGGCGAGACGCGCTGGCGATTTCCACCACAGCCCCGCTAAAGTTATTTGGCTGAGAGTGGGTTTTGTGGTGACCTTTCCAGCGGTGGCCCCGTTCTGATCGAGCCCAGACTCTCACACAGGCAAAGTGCCTCCTCTCCCAGCTCGGCACCGAGCGGCGGCTACCGCCTCCCAGCTCCCCGGTGATGCAGGGGTCTTGCCTCTGGCCTGTCACTAACCTGAGGCACTCCTAAGGGAAATCCCTCCCTGCCGAGCCCTCCCGGCGGCTCCCGCGAGAGGGGCCGGGGCAGGCCCTGCTCCCCCCGCAGGCCGCAGGGGCGGGCCGGCGGGGCGGTGCGGAGCGCTGGGGCCGGGCCTCCCGCTTTGAGGGGGCCGCCGGGTCCAGCCGAGGCGGGTGCTCAGGGGGGATTGCGGGAGCCGGCCCAGGCGCCAGCCGGCATGGGGGCCGGGGCGCTGGCCATACGCGTGAGTAGGGGTTGGGCGGACGGGCCGGGACGGAGGCGCCGCTGCTCGGGGAGCAGCCGGTTACCGCCGCCCTCCCCGGGGTTCCCTGCGAGGCGGGGGGAAGAGGAGAGGAGCCGGCCTGGGCCCGGTGCTTTCTTCGTCTGAGGCTCTTTCCTTCTCCCTTTTCGGCAGCTGCCGCTCCTTGGGGGGGGGGGGGGGGGGGGAAGTGAAGATAAATCGAGGCGATTCTAAGCTTTTTTTTTTTTTCCGTTTTTTAACATTTTTCAGCCAGTGAGCAGCGGCGCTGTATTATTCCTTGTGTTAAGGTTGTTGGATGAGTGGAAAAAGTGCGTCCCCATGGCATATAAATAGCTTTTCTCAAATCCAGTGGTGTGTCTGAGTGGCACTTTGCAGATGAAGTCCTGGTGATCAGTAATAGTTGCACTAATATTTGGTCAAATTTTCCCTGCATGAAATCCGAACTTCCATCTGTAAGATCGTATAACATTGACCTCTTTGTTTCGGAGCTGTTTTGAGGGGGTGATTTAGTTTTGATTTTGGTTAGATGCATATTTTGGGTAACTGCGTAACTGTTTTGTTCCTAGTTAGTGCATTGTCTCCAGATCGTGAAACAGGCTCAAAAATTTCCTCTGCTGCTCCGTGGACATGAGAAATGTCTCTTGGTTCTCTTATAATTCTAAATTGTGAGTTTCCCCAAGTAAATCCAGCTCTGTTACTCAGGCTTTCAAATGCTGAAACGGAAACAGGCTGGAAACCTGTAGCTGAGTAAGAGTGTGAGGCTAATCGGAGACCTTAATTGGAAAAGCTCTCCAAGTATCACAGCTGCTCAGGAGCTGCTCGAAGGACTTTTGCTGTCTTCTGAGTTTAACCAAGGCTACGTGATTTTTCCCTTGGCATGTGTCTCCCTGGAGAGAAAATCATATATTATTAATTTAATCCTGAATGGGAGCATCTGTTTTTAAAATAGATGTGGTATTTTAATAAGTTAGTCAAATTTTAGTTCAAACACTGATGTGTGTACTGCTTATTGTAAATATTTATAAGGTGATTACAGTAATGCTGGTTTTATTTATATATGGCAATTCTGTTTCGCAAATAATAAGACATATTTATGATATTTATACAAGCAATATCTTTCGTAAAGATCAGTGTTGCATAGGACCTGGGATTATAGAACACACATGAGCTCCAGAGAGCTGTGGCTGATGGGAAAAACACAGCAAAGTGAGTGAACTGCTGGATTCTTTTATATCTGAAAGGACAGTCGTGCTTAATAGCAGCATCGGTGAAGATGTTCATGTTGCTTACAGACTGCAGTAAAAATGTCATCTCACATAGGAAGAGATGTATACCTTGCTAAAATCCACCCAGTGTACTCAGGCACCAAGATTTAGGCAAGAGTCTGAGCACTTTGTGTTACTATACAGTATTCTCTTTCCTATGTGTAGGGTTTCTACTAGCTGTTTGTTAATAGAACACAGCAGAAGCAAATTCATTTTTAAGCATTATGCTAACAGTGGATTCCTTAAATAAATAGATTGAACTGCATGGTAGCAGTGGGCTCTGGTTCTTGCAGTGTGATGTCAGAAATATGAGGAAATTTATCAATGGAACCCCAAACGTACAGCACTATGTGCTGAGTTAGATTCCTGCCTATTATTGATCTTACATATTAATCCTATATTATGTTATCCCCTTGGGTTGTATTGGCTGCGCTCTCATGTTTTCTCTGTCACCACAACTCGGCATTTGAGAGAATGTTGTGCCTCCAGAAGAACCTGTGGAATTTGTACAGTTAAGGGTTTACCTTACAATGTTTTTTCCACTCCTCTTATTATGTGTGATTAGATTATGTAGTCCCTTTCTAATCTTAAAACTTCAGTAATTAAATTTCAGACTTGGCAGACACAAAATGTAAAATCTTTCATAAAGATCCATCTCACATGACAGTTGCCAAAATTAATCCCTAAGGAACAGCATCTGGAAGAAAGGTGCAATGAACCTTCCCTGGAGTACTCTCGGACTCTTGACAGGTATCCTGGAGACGGCCTTTACTAATTGTGCTGTGCTGGGACTTTATATGTTTGTGTGTGTCTGGTTGCTTTTGTAACCCGTGTGAACTGCATGAATTTCAACAGCAGCCTCCTGCGATTCCCAATTATTTGTTACTCTAGTAACAAGTTCACATGCAAAGGTGTGTCATTCTCCCTTAGCTACTCCTTACGCTCTTTCTCTGTAAGTTAATTTCCTAGTTTTTTCTCAGTTAAATTTTTGGTTTCCTACTTCACAGTGTTTTTTCTGTGTGTTAAAAGGAAGTTAAGGCCAAAACTGTATTCTGGAGCACAGAAGCCAGTTTCGATGGATGTGCTTATTTTTGACTCTGAAACCTTCTTAAGCAAATGTGACTAATGCACTTCTTTCTTCTGCTCCTTTAAGCAAAGCAAATCGGCTGTGAGATTGAAGGAGGACATGAAAAAGATAGCTGCATTTCCACTGAGCAAGCAGAAGGACACAACCTGTCCCAAGGTGTTTGGAGTGAGTCTTCTGGAGCTCCAGCAGCAGGGACTGAGCAAGAATGGCATCCCAATAGTTGTGTGGAATATAGTCGAGTACCTCACTCAGCATGGTAGGCCTAATGGAGTCACTTTTGCTTAGTAGCACTCTATATAAGACTCTTCAAAGGGAGGAGTACATCTTCTTTTGTGGTGCAGGGGCTAAGTAAGGTTGTGGCACTAACCACAGGCAAGTAATATTACTATATGTGGTTTGCTTCTTTTTCTTTCTGCCTTGATGCCAAACTTACATTTTAATAGGGTGTTTATAAAGGTAAACTACAGTGTTGTGAAGCAGCACACTCTCATAACAAGATGTTCAGTCTATAAATGGAATAAATTTGTGAATGTTTGTGTCATTTTCTAGTTGCAAAACATTTGTCTTTCTGACAATGAGAGGATATAAGTATATATATAGAGATACGTGCGTGCACACACCCCATCAGATAACATTACTGAATACATGTTCTTACAAGTATTTTCAGATAGATTCCAGTTATTATTAATCCCCTCAGGGAAGTAGGCAGCCAATACTTAACCTTATGCTTGGTGCTGCAGCGATGAGAATCATTGTTGAGATGCGGTGTTTTCTGATGCCCTCAAGATGGCAGTACAGAATGCCACATAAGAGCACATTTTGTTGTGAATACAGGAATGTAAACTCTGTAAGCAGTATCCTTTATTAGTCAAGTCAAATGCCTCAGTGCTTGTCCATTCCCCCCCCCCTTTACTAAATCAGTTTGTCATCTTGTCCAATAAAATGGATTGTTTCCCTGTACAAGCACTGCTGCATCAGTATAGATTTCTTGGATTGGAAGTGTTCTGTCAGACAGCTGTTATGATGTCTGTTCTGAACTGATGAAAACTGTATATATTTTCATCCTTTCAGTGTTATTCTTCTGAAGAAGAACAAACAGGTTTATAGACACAGTATTAGAAAAGGCAGGATTTTTTGTGGTGAAGGTGTTCTAAAGAAAAATTAATGTACTGGACTCAGTTTTAGGCACTTTACTGAAAGTTTTGAATCTCAACATATGCCTAGAAAGTGATGTTTGGTACTGTATGATTCATCTGGCTTCCTCCATGGAAACCTCCTTCTTTCTATATCTCCTTCACTGGGTGAAGGAGTCTGGGGTGGGGCATCTGGCCTGAAGTGATCGATACCTTTTCTTTTTCACTGCGAAATACTGTGGGCTTTGTGCTGTCCAAAATAAACATCTGCTCACAGAGATTTTCTGCTATCGTAAAGTCTCAGTGCTCATTATGGAGTTACTGCTGCAGTCAGCATATATTCAGATGGTTTTGCTTCATGATGATCACAGGTAGAAGGTCAGGAGTAGTCATGTATGAATTTGGCAGAGGCCGCTCAAGGTAATCGGGTGCTTTCAAAAGTGAAACAACAGAACTGTTTTGTGAAATCTGGACCCTTTTCTGTTGAAATATATGAACGGAAAATGCAGCTGTCTCAATTGATTTCTGCATGGTGTGACGTTACAGCAATACCACTGAATTCTGTGATCTGTCAAAAAGTATCCCAGGCCTCAAGATCTGATCATTAGTATTTGTTAATTATCGTAGTCCAACTACTTGTCTAGAGTGGGTAAGGGCTTTCTGGGGTGAAAACATTACATTTTTAAACTGTGTTGTGTTAATTGCCCTCCTTTATATTACTACAAGTCTGTTATTCACACTAGAATATCTGTTTCATCGTATCACTGTGATGTCTTAGTTCAGATTAGTCTCGTATGCAATATATAATTACAGGTATGACGCAGGAAGGACTCTTCAGGGTAAATGGCAGCATGAAAATGGTAGAACAGTTGCGTCTGCAATATGAGCGTGGAGAAGAGGTGGAACTTGTTAAAGATGGTGATGTGTACTCAGCAGCCAGTCTGTTGAAATTATTTTTGAGAGAGTTGCCAGATGGGATTATCACCTCTGCCTTACATCCCAGGTTCATTCAGCTTTACCAGGGTAAGTGACAAGTAAAATCTCCATCCTTTAATGTGCTTTCTTTTGGATAATTGGTTATTCAGTGAGCAATACTCTTTGTTTCTTAGTTTATATACTTAGTTCCTTTGACTTTAGCTCTCACCTGCTCCAAGAGTGCTCACTGATGTGCAGTTCTCTTACAAGAGAATTGTGTTTGGTAATGTCTGGACTATTAATGATTTTCTAATCCAGTTATACCTGCAGAGTATAAACCAAAATGATTAGCTGGTTTCTTTGAGCAAGCTTGTAGAAAATAGCTGCAGTCTCTTTAGGACACAGGTTTGCTTCTGGTTTGCTAGGGTGATTTCTGTCAATTTCATTCTAATGAGCTCTGAAAAGTTACAACAACTTCATCTGCTACTCCAACTGAATATCCATTAGGCCTGAAGCATACATTGTCTAAGTTTCTACTTCTCACTAAGTAATGTGATTGCTCATAAAAAAATTAGCTAGCTTTCAAGTAACAGCAAACTTTACCTTTTACTCATTCCCCATTATAGCACACAACCTGGAAGACTTTTTTTTCCTTTGTCCACCCTACCCCTCCCCTTCAAGTGGTGCATCAACCGTAAGAAAGAACATCACTTCTGCTTTGGAAAGTTGAAACATGCACAACTATCTATCAGATGATTTCTCTATGTAATTCACCTGCATCAGACAGTCTGTGGTGGTGTTATGTGGAATAGGTGGTGGTTTGCACTGTTCCTTGACAGTGTGGATCAGTGACAGTTCTTTTCTCTTGCTGCAGGCAGTCAATGATGCTTCTTGCTGTCTTCCTAAGAAGCTGCAAAGTGAGTGGGTAGATGTTACTAAAGATGTGCATTGTACAGTAAATCAGGCAAATGTGATGCATGATTCAGAGAGGATTGTGTGCTCTGACATGCATCTCTAGTGGAAGATGGTGCAAAGTTATCACATTCTGGTTCTGAGGCCTCCCTTCTGCTTTTCTTGCCTGCAGTGATGAAGTTTAGCCATTGCCTAGAAGAGGGAGAACTCGGCCGTGTGGGTTTTTTGTTTTCCTGTTTGGGGCTGTGCAGACTGTTGAAGTGTGCTGGAGAAGAGGTTTGTGCCTTCCCCTCAGTGAAGGCATTTCAGTTGTAATGAGGTTGCATATAGGCTCTGTAAAATACCTTCCTTGTTAGTGAGGTTGTCTGGGGCCAGGGATAGGATTCAGGAAGTCTTGTGTGGAAGGTAGCGATGTTCTAGAAAGCCCCTTTTTACTGGTCAGTGCTGTGCTTTCTTTGGGTTCTTTTAGATTTCACCAGGTCTGACTTATGAGCTGTATTTAATTATGTTCTTTCTCATAAATCACTTCAAGTGGAAATTTTGTTTGTTGTACCTTTGTTGTTCTACATCCCTGTCCCCACAAAAGTCAAATTGGTGTATTGTACCAGGAACTACTGATGTTCTTTGCGAACAGTGCTGTTTGTGGTAAGTTTTACTCATCCTGCTTCCCACAGGATGTGCAAAATCTCCCCAGTACTTTCTATGGAAACGAGAGAGATATCTTATTCTCAGCAGATTTACCCACAAAGCTTTCTTCTTTCAAATAAAGTTGCTGGTGTAAATTATGAAGCCAGTTCTGCAAAAGTTAGCCTGACTGTGACATGTCTTCATAGCTAAGTTTGCCTGTATTGAACATTAAGATCCAGTTACAATTCTGTTATAATTTTGGTTAGAAAAAAATAATATTATTTTTAAAATGCCATATTGGCTGATACGGCAAGCGGAAGGCTTTTGTAAAGTTTGAAGAAAACTGAGGGGGTTTTCATGCCCTAGAAAATACAGCATAAATGAGTTGCTATGAAAGGCACTGATGACTTTTGTCAGGTTCAGTTTAGCTTAAGTGGTCATTGGGCCTTTGCTTACAGTTAAATGACCAACCAACTGTGCATGATTGGAGGAGTAATCTGTTCACTTATCAAAGTATGCACAGGGGTATCTGTTGCAAAATGGTACCAAGGAAGCGCACGCCTGAGTATTCTTTTTGTAAGCTATGATGTAGGTCAAGCTGTTTCTGAGCTAACTAGTCATTAAAAAATAACTTTGAAGCTGGAGCCACTTTGCTGCATGTCAACAGCAAAGGCAATTGCACGGTTTGCCACAACCTCTGTATTCTCTCCTGTTGAAGCTTTGCATGGGAAATATTTTTGTAGGATTATGTTAGGGTTACATTGTAATATTTTCAGTGAGTGATATCAGCATTTTTTTTTTAAGCCAGCTGAGATCTTGGCCTGAGAGCAACACACAATCACTTCCTATAAAAATTTTTAGGGAGCGATTCATCTAGTTAAAAATAGCTGAACTAAAAATTAAAAATTATACCTGTATCTGTAACCCTTTTTAATTCTGGTTATAATCTTTGATACCAAACCAAAGAGTAAATCATAGTTTCATAGAATGTTTTGGGTTGGAAGGGACCTTTTAAGATCACATGGTTCCAGCCCCCCTTCCACTAGACCAGGCTGCTCAAAGCCCCATCCAACCTGCCTTTGAACACAGCCAGGGATGGGGCTATCACAAGGTCTCTGGCCAACCTGTTCCACCCTCATAGTGAAGAATTTTTTCCTAATGTCTAATCTGAATCTCCCCTCTGTCATCTTAAAGCCATTCCCCCTTGTCCTGTCACTGCATGCCTTGTAAATCTGCCCTTTTATGAAAAAGAGAGAACCTCACCCACTTGTAGTTTGAGAAGTCCACGTAGATGGTTTGGCATGCTGTCTGCAGCCTGTGCAATGTTATGTGAAATGGAGCTCTGCATGCTGCCCCCAAATCCTGATGCATGCCTGTTTATAAAAATATTCAGTGTAACACCAAGGCTATGCAGCTCCAGAAAACATCACGTAGTGTATTCTTAAGGCTGTTTGCCGTGTCCTGGTGTTCTCTTTCTGCCCTTGGAGAAGGACAGTGGCAGTGGGAGCAGAGAAGAACCTCCCTCTGTAAATGATGATGATGGGAGATGTGTGTGGCAAGTACAGGCCAGGGACACACTGATAGTGATCTTTGTGTTGGCCGGTCTCCTCAGGGCACCAGACAAATATGAAGGCCGCTCCTTGCAGGGAGTCCTGGGGTAAAAAATGTCCCATTACAGTCTCTTTTGTGACTTTGCAGGCTTCACTGCTGAGCAGAGCTGTGCCTGCCTGTGCAAAATGAGCTGTGCTTGCAGAGCGGTGAAAGTTTCTTTTGGAAACCTCAGCAGGGAGAAATCAGCAGCTCCCATGCAGCAGTCCCTGCTTGATCTTGTTTACTACTTCTGGCTTTTCATTCCTTATCTTTTATAGCATGATCACTGGCTCTTAAGACACTTGTACATGCTAGGGAACTCTATGTACAGCTCTTACTCCCTTTCACAGGTCACTTGCTTTCAGCAAGACAAGTTCCTATTGTACTTTTCCTTTTTAGCATACAGAAAGCTTTCCCATGAAGTGAATTTCTTTTTTTGTTGTTGTTGCATTCCCTTCTCCAGCAGGGGTACGGTGAAATGTGGGCTTATGTCTTCCTTTGGTATTCAGTCTAATTAACTCAAATGCAATTTGATCTCTCATGCTTCCTGACTTGTTCCATCCTAGAGAATTTATATATTTCAGTGGGCAGCAGCTAATGCAAGTTCTATCTCACATACCTCCTCTTGCTCACAGCCTGCCATGGCTGACAAGGTTTTGCATGGTGCCTGTGAACAGCCCTGCTAGTTCCAGAGAGAGGGATAGGAGGTGGTGGAAGGGAAAGAGCAGCTCCCTTCTGGATCAGAAGGTCAGTTTAGAGAATGCTTAGCAGCCAGCAGCTGTTGAGTTGCATGAACAAGCAGAACCAAAAATATAGATTGTGCTGGAGGATTTTAGAGGTCAAATTTCAACCTGAACAGTGACTGTGAAAATGAATAAATGAGTGTGAAAGGGAATAGATGAGAGCTGACCCTTTAACCATGGTAACTGCAGCCGTGCAGCAAATCAGATTCACAAGATGTCTATGGTTCTCCAGGCTCCTGTGGCATGAATTTAACATTTTCCTTTGGATTTTGTCATTTTGGTGTTATAAGGCCTAGTTCCAAACCAGAGAAATAACTTCTGTTTTCCACATGCAGAAGGTGTTTGTTAAGCAGTAAAAACTCTTGGAACTGGATTTCTTAAGCAGATGATGACACTCAGCAGAGCTACAAAAGAAGTGAGAGTGCTCTGCTGCCAGTATGTTGGAGTGAAGCATAAATACAGCTCTGCAAAGTGCCATAACGATGCAGAGTGAGGGGTCGCAAGTTGGATTGTGATGACAGCCTCTTTATGATGAGGACTTCCAGCATTTCTGCTACTGATGGCAACATGACATGATTTTTATGGGTTTTTTCCTCTGCAGTAGGATTGTGTCTGAAGCAGATTGCTTTGTGGCAGAGAGAAACTGGAGTCCCACTTCCTCTAGATTGTGGAGGTGGAAAGAAATGCTTTGATTCCTCCGATAGCCATGTGGGTGCAGTGGCACTGCAATGTGAAACCTGCTGCCTATGTACCAAAGATTAACTTCCTAAGGCACATTGATAGCTACAGACAGATGCAAGCTTCTCTGCCTGCCCTCAAAGCTAGTAGTATGTAAGACAGCTGAAAGATATGCAAAGTAAAAAAGTGGTAGCATGACACTGAGCCTTAGCCATTCTTCCTCACCTCACAGCAAAGAGAATTAGCCAGGGCATGGCACTGTTTCAGTGCTTCCAGGCTGGAGGTGTTTGGGGTCAGACCATCTGAGACATGAGCAAAGTAACAACACGCTTATGTACAGGCATCCATGCCTTTAGTGATGTTCAGGAAGCATGCTCTGCAGGGAGAAGGAGTAGCATGAAGAGGGGTGAGTTGAGGAATTAGAAGGTGTCTGTAGCATGTAAGAGAAACTCAATACATTCAGAAACAGGATGAGCCATTGGAAAATATGTTGCTCTTGTTGTGATCTGTGGGTGTATACTGAAATTAAATGAGTCTGAAAACACCCTTGCAAATGTGTCTGTGCCTCCTACACTGTTGAGGCTCCTGTTTCTACTTAATTAACATTTTAGAGAAGCTGCTTGTCCTTTTCAGTTGTCTCTTTGGCTTGTCCCTCAATAGTGACTCCCTACTTGAGCTTTGAAGTGCCACACTGCCCTTGCTGGCTTCCTTCGCCCTCTGCCTGTGTCATACTGTGTTCTCTGTTCTCTGGCTGCTGGCCCTAGATGTGGCCTGAGGCTGCTGGTTTTGTTTCCTTCCTCAGCACAGAAACCACCATCTTATCCCCGGTTTCAGGCGCTTGCTGGTTGTTCATTTAGTTAGGTTTCTCTTTCAGACCACTGCTGGGATGCTGTCTGTTTTACATGGCTTCTGGCAGGTCCACAAAATAAAGAAGTGGATGCCTTTGACTCCTCCTTGAGAGCACCTTCCCTTTCCCCTTCATTTTTCTTTTACTCCTTTCTCCTTTGTCTCTTGCTGTATTGGTCAAAATATTCAAAGGAGCTTCATGTGCTGTGCTTGAAAAGTCATGAGTGTGTTGGTAGCTGGGCCTATCTGGAAATCTGGCTTGAATACATGCTCCTGAGCTGCCTTTGAAAATCTGGCACTCTGCTGTTTCCATTATTGACAAGCTTTTTTGTCTCACGTCAGGATGCTGCAGAGACTGAGGCATATGCTTAGCTTCATGCCACCCTCTTTAATCTGACTGAATAAGAAAGACTGCACTTGATAGTCTTGACTTCCATGGGACAGCTTGTACTTCGCAAAATTAGGCACGTACATAAGCTTAGGGCTTTGGTACGCTTGATGCTTGAGTGTGTGGTAGCCTAAACAGCTCTGGTGCTCTAATGTTTCCCTGATGATCAGTACCAGCTGAGTAACCCTTAGTGACCGACTTTAAAGTAGATTGAAAAATTGCATAGCAGGTGGACAAAAGGAGGAAGAATGCTCCAAGCAGTTGGTTATTGTGACTCAAGACTATTTTTGCTCTCCAATAGGTTGAAAAGCTGTTTTGTTTGAAGTAATGTAGCAGAGGTACACTTGTCCAGAGAAATGTACAAAGCGCATGGAATACGTGTGTGCATGTCACTCTAAATTCACCACAGGTTGTAATAGTAATTTTTAAAATAAAGCTAAAATCTGTGGAATGCCAGCAGCAGAAGAATTTACAAATTAGTTTTTGTTTTTTCATTGTACTGGGAGAAAGGCGTCAGTTCCTTCCCTTGCTTTTTCATTGGAAAAGGAGGAGAGAGAGGAAAGACAGATTTTGTTTCTCCCATTTCACAAGGACAAGGAATTTTATGGTTCAGTAAGTAGGGTTTGCTTCCTTATGTTGTTCAGTGTCTCTGTGTCCTTCAATTAGAGTAATTGCTCAAGATCTTATAATCTGATATTAGTCTCTGTTCTTGAAAGTACAGAAATGAACAAAGGTTTGGCTGTGCCCAGTGATAAGTATCTCTGATGTTGATCTGCACCACATAATATATCATGGTTAATGAACAGGGACATCCTACCTACCAAATACAGCTGATGCCATGAGGCAAACAGCTTTGTGTGTTGTCAGAGTGCAAACCTGTGTTCAGAATGTTTTATGGCAGTTATTAGCAACTTTCTAGTTTGGAAGGGTTGGAAAATCCTTCAATAAATGGAAAAGTACCTGTCAATCTAAAGCCACAGTGGGAGACTCAGAGAGGCAATTAGTTCTCAAGGGCATTCCTTAATTAGGTGGTGGGGTGATGGTGGTGGAAGAGGTGCATTTTTCCTGAGAGATGGCTTTAGCTTTCCTTATCACAACTGCAAGAAATTTATAGTAGAAAACACTATGTGCCCCATGTTTTGTTATCTAATGGGAACTGTGCTAGAAGGTGAATTTTAATGTTCTGCCTATGTGGAAATTAGTTGTGTTTTGTTACTTTAAACTTCATGAAAAGATAATTAGTAATCAAGTCAGAGACTGTACAGTCCACTTTGATCAGTGCAAGCACAAATCCAATTAAGGTCTGTATTGTTATTCCTTTTAATACAGCCTTCAGAAGCATTCTGCAGAAATAAAAACAATATATCAGATTTCTTACTGTTACAAAGCTGATTCATAGTAGCAAAGTAATGACTGGTTTTATTCTGTATAGCTCTAAAATTTTTTTTAAATAAATACTTGTGATAAATAAGCAAATAAGATTTTTTGCTCATCTGCTTCATGCATATTCAGTATTTGTTTTTTCTGAAGGGGCTGATTTCTTAGCTGTAGATGAAAAGGATATAATCGGTTGAAATGTTTGATCCTGTAATTTGACTGACATATTAAACTATGGGCTGCTATTGTGAAAGGATTCATTCAAGTCTGTGGCACCAAAGCAGATACATAAAAATGAATTCTCCAAGTGTATAAAATTTAAGAAAGCTTCTCTCACTGTGCACTGCATGATGCACATCATGTAAGGCAGGAAAACTAAGCTTGGAAGCAATGAAATCCTTCAAGTTCAACTGTATGAGGTGGCAAGTACGTACATACAAAACTCAATTGTTTCCCAAACTGTATACCACAAAAATGTCTGATTGTAAAACAGAAATCACATTGCAACTTAATGGTTGAGTTCTCAGGAGACACTTTTAGGTATTTTTATACAGACTGCTAATTTACACAGCTAACCACTTTTCAAAGCATTCTACCCCTGGGATACTGTGCAATCCAGCCCTGGAATACTTCTGGGAAACGAAAAGTAAAAACAAAGGTGAAACTTCTGAAGGGTTTATACATACCTTACACTGTGTTCAAAGCTCTTCCATTCTTGCTCTCCTTCCCCCCCCCCCCCCCCCCCGCCCCGAAATGCTAGGGAAATGTAAAATGTTCTTTGCTCTTGCAACACAAGGTATGGAGTGTTTTCTTGCCAGTCTTCTCTGCATGCTGATAGCAGGGTATACAGCAGAGGCAGCAAATACTTCAGATGCAGCTTGGTTTATTACATCTTCTTAACTAAAAATAAGGCTTGAAGACTGAGCAAGGTTTGGTTTCCAGTGAATCCTGCGTGAATCTCCTTGCCAAGAATGGTAACATCCTCTGAATGAAAAAACACCTTGTTACCCTAAGTGTGGGGAGGAGTTCTAGGAGATTATAACAAGGCTACTCTAACATTAGGCTATGTTTTGGGTCGTTAATGGAGTGTAACACTGCCCTGAACAACTTTTTTCTAGAGGTAACATCCAGAAGAAGCTTGGAAACAGGAGATTTGGTAGAATGGGAGTTCAAGCAGGTATTAGTACTGAGTGGGAATAAACATGCTTTAAAGCTGTTAGCTTTGACCACTGCTGATGCTGCTCAAGAAAATAGATCCAGTGTAAAGGTGAGCATGAAACAGTCTCAGTGGGGGCAAGAGTGAGCCTCAGGAGAAAAGTGCAGGTTCCCTGATGAAAATTGAGGGTTCTGGAGGATTCTGTGTCTCTGAACAGAAGTAAGATTAAATTTTAGATCCCAGTGGTTGCTCACCCATGTAAGTAAATTGGCAGCAGTGTAGAAGCCGTATACATGTTTTTTTCTCCTCTTGTTTTTCCTAGATGCTAGAAATGACATGCAGAAGGAACATAACTTGAAAGAACTCCTTAAGGAACTGCCTGATGCTCATTACTGCCTGTTGAAGTATCTGTGCCAATTCCTGATAAAGGTTGCTGAACATCACATAGAGAACAGGATGAACCTTTGCAATCTTGCCACTGTATTTGGACCAAACTGCTTTCAGTAAGTAACTTTTCCCCATATGTTAATGGAGAGTGTAATGGACCAGATGGCCAGAAATGTAGCTCAGAAGTCTAATTGTCAGAGCGATCAAACTAAGGCAATGACTTGAGCTTTGGGGTAAATTTTAGTGCTAAAGCTATTATTTCAGCTGAATGTGAGTTGAGTTGCTCTCCAATCTCCTCTTGCTATTTTGCTAAACAGTTGGTCAATTTTCTATTGCTGTGGGAGTATAATAATGGAAGACCTTCAGACTGTGTAAGTGCAAGGAGACTTGAGATCATACAGCTTTCTTCCTTTGCCATCAGAGAATATGGATGCTTCTCTGCAGAAGGCTTTGAGAAAGGATAACTGGGGGAGAAGGACTCATATGCAACACCCAAGTGCTGTCTGATTTCTGATGATGGATACTGCACACTCGGCAGATTTAACATTGTGATCTGGTGCCTGTCCTCGAGATGCCAAATATTCTGGGTTCTTTATCCTTCTAGTATATTCAGAAACAGCTTTAGAGGTTACGGGGTTCCACTGGTCTCTTGAGATTTCTTTGTGGACTTGCTGATTTTTCTAGTTTCTTTCATTGGACCCAGTTCCTTGGTGCTTGTGGTGAAGACGTTGTACAAGCTAACGGATCTTGCAGCAGTAGCAAGAACAGTTATTTCCAGGGGCAAGAGCACACTCGAGTGAGACTGTTTCTATTGAATCACTGCTGTGATGCAGTGCGTTGTTAGCATCTTCACCCCAGTCTTGTCTGCAAGACACGCACTGGCTGGCATCCAAAATCTAAGACATGGGAGACATGTATGGAGTTTTGTTCAGTCATTAGTCTTGAAAGATGTGTAATATCAGCAAAAAGAGACAAGTGAGTTCCTTGTAGCAAATGTCAGATTTGTACTGATCTTTGTATAATGCCTAATGAGACTTAGATTAGATTGCCTAATGAGACTATCTCCCTAGGCTTCCTCTGTAGACAGTGGAAAGAAGTAGGCTTCTTTAAAGAGAGAAAACAAATTAAGTTCCTTGTAATGCATTCAGCCAGTTCCACATACCTAGGCTAGATACTGTCTGCTCTTTCTTTAAAGGAGCATATCTTTTTTGACTGATTAAGGAGAGAATATGCAGATGAGACATTTAAACCAAAGCTTGTCCGTGTGACTACACTGCTGCCTCAGTTATGGGCGATGAAGGTGGATATGTCAGGATTAAGCCATTTGCTGTGTTAGTACAAAAAGGTTAAAAAAAAATGTTTTGAAAATAGTTGTCTTCCTCTGCAAAAGAAAGAAAACTCAAAAGACAGTAATATGTGCAGGAACATGTGAATGTGAGAGTTATTGGAAGCACAATACTGCAAATTTCTGACAAGGAAAAGTAAACGTGTTTTTATAGATTACATTTGTATGGGCAGTTTGGGAATTTTTTGCCTAAATGTATTAGTAGAGTTAAGAACAAACAAAATAAGTGAGGAAAAATCTGTGTCATAGAATCATAGAATCGTTAGGGTTGGAAAGGACCTTAAGATCATCTAGTTCCAACCCCCCTGCCGTGGGCAGGGACACCTTACGCTAAAACATATCACCCAAGGCCTCGTCCAACCTGGCCTTGAACACTGCCAGGGATGGAGCATTCACAACCTCCCTGGGCAACCCAGTGCCTCACCACCCTAACAGGAAAGAATTTCCTTCTTATATCCAACCTAAACTTCTCCTGTTTAAGTTTTAACCCGTTACCCCCTGTCCTGTCACTACAGTCTCTAATGAAGAGTCCCTCTCCAGCATCCCTATAGGCCCCCTTCAGGTACTGGAAGGCTGCTGTGAGGTCTCCACACAGCCTTCTCTTCTCCAGGATGAACAGCCCCAGCTTCCTCAGCCTGTCTTCATACATGAGGTGCTCCAGTCCCCTGGTCATCCTCGTGGCTCTTCTCTGGACTTGTTCCAACAGTTCCATGTCCTTTTTATGCTGAGGACACCAGAACTGCACACAATACTGCAGGTGAGGTCTCACAAGAGCAGAGTAGAGGGGCAGGATCACCTCCTTCAACCTGCTGGTCACACTCCTTTTGATGCAGCCCAGGATACGGTTAGCTTTCTGGGCTGCAAGCGCACACTGCCAGCTCATGTTCATTTTCTCATCGAGCAGCACCCCCAAGTCCTTCTCCGCAGGGCTGCTCTGAATCTCTTCTCTGCCCAACCTGTAGCTGTGCCTGGAATTGCTCCGACCCAGGTGTAGGACCTTGCACTTGGCATGGTTAAACTTCATGAGGTTGGCATCAGCCCACCTCACAAGCGTGTCAAGGTCCCTCTGGATGGCATTCCTTTCCTCCAGCCTATCAAACCGAACCACACAGCTTGGTGTCATCGGCAAACTTGCTGAGTGCGCACTCAATCCCACTGCCCATGTCAGCGACAAAGATGTTGAACAAGACCAGTCCCAGCACCGATCCCTGAGGGACGCCACTCATTACTGGTCTCCAGCTGGACATTGAGCCATTGACCACAACTCTGTGTGCGGCCATCCAGCCAGTTCTTTATCCACCGAGTGGTCCATCCATCAAATTGATGTCTCTCCAATTTAGAGACAAGGATGTCATGTGGGTCAGTGTCGAGCGCTTTACACAAGTCCAGGTAGATGACATCAACTGCTCTACCCCTGTCCATCAGTTCTGTAGCCCCATCATAGAAGGCCACCAAATTGGTCAGGCAGGATTTCCCTTTAGTGAAGCCATGCTGGCTGTCACCAAGCACCTTGTTGACTTTCATGTGCCTTAGCATGCCTTCCAGGAGAATCTGCTCCAAGATTTTGCCAGGCACAGAGGTGAGACTGACTGGTCTGTAGTTCCCTGGGTCATCCATTTTCCCCTTCTTGAAAATGGGGGTTATATTTACCTTTTTCCAGTCATCGGGAACTTCATCTGACTGCCATGATTTCTCAAATATGATGGCCAGCGGCTTCGCAACTTCATTCGCCAGCTCCTTCAGGACCCACGGATGGATCTCATCGGGACCCATGGACTTGTGCACGTTCAGATTTTTAAGATGGTCTCGAACCAGATCCTCTCGTACAGTGGGCGCAAGGTCTTCATTCTCACAGTCCCTGCATCTGCCTTCCAAGACTTGGGTGGTGTGGTCAGAGCCTTTGCCAGTGAAGACCGAGGCAAAGAAGTCATTCAGAGCCTTCTCCAAATCCTGTGTAGCCAGTTCTCCCAAGAGCTTCCTGAGGGGGCCTACATTCTCCCTAGTCTGTTTTTTATTTGCTGTGTACGTGTAGAATCCCTTCCTGTTATCTTTAATATCTCTAGCTAAGTTTAATTCTAACTGGGCCTTAGCTTTCCTAACCTGGTCCCTAGCTTCCTGGACAACATCCCTGTAATCTTCCCATGCCACCTGTCCTTGCTGCCACTTACTATAAGCCTCTTTTTTTCATTTGAATTTTCCTCAGGAGCTCCTTATCCATCCAAGGAGGTCTCCTGGCCCTCCTGCTGCACTTCTTTCTGGTTGGGATGCAACACTCCTGAACTTGGAGCAGGTGATCCTTGACTATCAACCAACAGTCTTGGGCCCCCCTGCCCTCTAGGGCTGTATCCCATGGAACCTTACTAAGCAGGTTCCTGAAGAGGCCAAAGTCTGCTCTTTTGAAGTCCAGGGCAGTGAGCTTGCTGCACGCTCTTTCACTGTCCTGAGGATCTCAAATTCGAGCATCTCATGATCGCTGCAACCAAGGCTGCCCTGGAGCGTCACATTTCCAACGAGCCCTTCCCTGTTGGTGAGCACGAGGTCAAGCGTGGCACCTCTCCTTGTCGGGTCCTCTGTTACTTGCAGAAGGAAGTTGTCTTCTACATAATTGAGGAACCTCCAGGATTGCTTGTGCTGGGCCGTACCGTCCTTCCAACAGATGTCAGGGTGGTTGAAGTCCTCCATGAGAACAAGGGCCTGTGAGTATGAGGCTTTTCCTATCTGTCTATGGAGTGCTTCATCCGCAGGTTCTCCTTGATCAGGTGGTCTGTAACAGATCCCCACAGTAATGTCTCCCATAGCTATATTCCCTTTAACCCTGACCCACAAACTCTCTGTGGACTGCTCACGTGTCCCCAGACAGAGTTCCATACTCTCCAGCCTATCCCTAACACAAAGGGCAACTCCTCCTCCCCGCCTGCCAGGCCTGTCTTTTCTAAAGAGCCTGTAACCTTCCATTCCAACACTCCAGTCATAGGAGCCATCCCACCATGTTTCTGTGATGCCTATTATATCATACCCCTGTAGACGTGCACACATCTCTAATTCCTCTTGTTTGTTCCCCATGCTGCGGGTGTTTGTATAGAGGCATCTGAGCCGAGCTCCAACTGAAGCTGGCTCATTGGCTGGAGCGGCTGGGATATCTCTACATGGCTCCAAGCATTTATTATAGGTGCTGTCAACTGACTGGGTGTGTTGGGGTGGAATGTTGCCCCCCTCCCCCAGCACGTCTAGTTTAAAGCCTCCTTGACCAGTCTGGCAAGCCTCCTACCAAAACTGCTCTTTCCCTTCTTTATCATCAGACCAGCTCCACCAGCCCCCACTAGACCTGGCCTACAAGCTTGGGTCTTGTGTTCAAGACACCCTAACCCCTGACTATGACACCACCCTTTTAACCAGTTATTAACCTGGCTAATCCTCCTAGCTTTTTTTAGGTCCTCCCCTGTACCCTGGAGAATTGATGAAAAGACCACCTGAGCTCCAGAGCCCCTAACCACCACCCCCAGGGCTCTGTAGTCCTTTATGTTCCCCAGGCTACTACTATCTATATCCCTAGCACCCACATGTATCACCAGGAGTGGGTAATAGTCCGTGGGACTTACTAGAGCAGGCAGCCTCTCTGCCACATCCCTGATCTGTGCCCCTGGTAGGCAACACACCTCCCTTGAGACGGGGTCTGGACGGCAGACAAGTGCTTCTGTGTCCAACGGTTAAGTCTCTCTGACTGAAACTGCAATCTAACTGGCTGTTAGATTATTTTTAGCTTACTTATCA